TAGTGATGACAGATCAACTTCCAGTTCATTGCGCGCCGCGACGTCCCTCCCCTCTCCGCAAAGCAGTGTGAAATTTATAAACAGATTTCGGAATGGTTAGAGAAACACGGGATATGCCTTTATCCATTTTTTACAGCAATTCTGATTTTTGTTTGATGGACATCGAAACATGCTTTCGCTTTGTAGATCCCTTACATATTAGTAAATATATATCAGAAATTCTATTTGACATAATCGAAAGTTCAAGCTTACTTTTATAACATTGCTCTAAAGGCCCGTCCATACGAGTACACTCGAAACGTAGCTGACGAACGCACTTTTACGTCACCAGCGTAAAAGCATCCAAACGAGTACGCTTGCGAAGAGTGCGTTTAACCAATAGAATTATTTCGCGCAAAAATCACGTGACACTGTGATATAGCATCAACAGAGCTGTATTTTATTACTTCGCTGTGCTTCTGTATGTTTGCGGCAAGTTGTCAGAATCAGATGATTTTTTTTTTATATAGCTGAAACTTTACTGTTAAGTGCAATTGTTAAGGAGAGGCAAAACCGCAAAAAATGGCAAGAATGGGTCTGAAAGATTTATTTAGAGCGACCTATTCAAAGAGGGTTTTTTTTTTTTTTTTTTTTTTACTGCCTCGTTTGCGAAATGAATATCCAGAATTATTAAATTCCTACTGTTAGCTCACACTCTCCCTATATCTTGTTCAAATTTTCAGTACATAGAATGCTTTTTATTCATACACTCAGGTTCAAATACAATTTCTTAAACTTGTAGTGAAAGACACTTGATGTTAATACAGCTTTTTCACATATTAAAATTTTTAATTAAAAAAAATTATGTTTATATATTTATGTATTTATTTGTATTTTTTTAATTTTTCTTTGTGGACTTAAGTAGGAATTAATTTTTTTTTTTTTTTTGTATATTACTTGTTTTTTAATTACTTCAGGATGAGTATCGACCAGTTTGACAGACTTGCAGATTCTATATTGTATGAAAATTAGAATTTATAAAATTGGTTTGGAATACACCATCCACCATATAATAAAACCAACTTCATATATTTTTAACTCCCCCTCACTTGTCTTTTGTTTTCCTTTTTATTTATTTTTGAATTTAGAATAAGGTTCAAACTTTGTACAGTTCATGAGAAATTATGTGCATGATAAAATATCCAATAAAGTAAAAATAAAGAGAGAATTTGTAGATGATATATGATAAAGAGATGCAGATATATTATTACATAAGGATTTCTATTTGCAATGCACATTTTTAAACTAAATTAAAAACAATAATAATAATGAATAAAATAAGAAATGAAAACAACAATAATAGGTAAAATAAGAATATAATGATTAATGATTAAATATAAGAAACACGTTTTAAAATGAGAAAAGCTAACTGAATTATACACTGTCTACAGGTGAGGTTCGAACTCACCACCTTACCATTTGCAAAGCAGCGCGCTGACCACTCAGATATCTGTGATAGCAGTGTTTGTGAAAAATAATGTGACAAGTAGAAGTCGCTGCAAAGGTAATTTAATTAAATTTCAATAAAAGATTGCTGTTTGACACAAGTTATAACTTTCCTCCAAAATTTCGTAATTGTATTTTATTGAATACTCTTTCACAGTCAACTGCTTTATTTTAGAAGTTGTTATATTGAAGTTAGTTTTTGCTGTATTTAATATTGGGATATTTATAGAGCTTTTTATTACACATGATGTAGCCAATATTTATAATAATTAAGGAGAATTTTGTAAGGCAGAAACTTTGATTTCGTAGAAACTGTAATTTATTTAGGTTCCTATTACTTACGGTGTTGTAAATATGTGAAGCGTATGGTTATACTGGTCGAATCATTGCTTTATAAATATACAGTTTTCCCCTTTAATCAGAATTTTAAATTTATACCAATATATACGGTTTGAGAAATCTGAAGATGGCGTGAACAATGCTGATAATTTTGTTGCTGTATACAGTTATGATATTTCTAAGCAAAAACTCATCTCTGTGTGGTTCTGACGCCATATTGAAACGGGTAAGCAAGAAGGTTTTCTGATTACAACACGTGATAAGAACTAGATCAGATATTGGCTATATGCGCGCGTCGCGGGCGAAAAAGCTGAACAGGAGCATACTCAGTTTTACGTCTTCTGCGTCACGCGAATTTACGCAGGCGTCAAAAAAGTTGCGTCAACTGCGCCGCGAGCATCCTCATGTGAACGGGCCGGATCCAATTCGAAGATTAAGAAACAACGCAATCTGCAACATTAACTGAAATAGATAATTAGATAATTTTACCTTAGCTTATACCATCCGTTATACATTAAACGCGCATGCGTACATGCCTATGCGCATGCGTAAACGCCTACCCTTACCAGAATCTTACAACGCATAATGCGTGAACGAATCATGCATTCACGCATGCGCAGAAAGTTGTAGCTTTGAGATCCGGATTAACGACTTTTGACTGTACTTATTTTCTGAGAGGGGTATGTTCTTTCAGTTTGGGCTCATTGAGATTTAACTATATTTAGATTGATTCTCTTTTTTATCCTTAAAAGCAAAAATCTTTAGCGCAAAGTTTCAAATTAATATTTGAGAAAATAAATTAATCTTTAAGAGTTTGACAGTCTGGGTCATGGCCCAGCTTTAGTGAAAATGTATGAAATAAAAAAGTTTTACATTAATCCTCTTATAAAGAATGTTTTAAGTAGCTAGTTATCCCTCATACTATTACAGAGCATGTAAAAATTATCTTTAATACGGAAATTATTGGCCTTAAAAATTATCAAAATTATATGATTTAGATTATTTGCCTCCCAATATAAGGATGAGGTTACTCAATGGGATAGAATAAATACCGCCTTCTTCTAAACCGAAAAGTGCAGGAGATGCTTTAATTCTTTATCATTCAGTAAAAACGTTTGAATTTAAATATTTTTTTTTTCCTTTGCTTTGAACTTTATTTACAGCTAAAATGTCTAAAAAATAAAAAGCGCTCTCCCTGAGGATGCAAATGAAATGTTAAAAAGAATGCTAGAATACAAAATGTATGGATATTTAACTGTTGGAAAATCTTAATATACTTGTGTCACCACTAAAAACAAATGCAGAAGTGCATTTAAAAGGAAAGAATGGAACTTTTTAAAAAAGAAAAGGAAAAACAATTTGTGGGAAAATCAACTTCAAAAAAAAAATTGCACATTCAAGGAGAAAATAGCCATAGGTTTACACCTTTGCTGTAGTTTTTTTTTTGCACAGTACCAAATATACCATCAAATGGGTCTGTGCTAATGTAAAAGACACAAGAAATGTCATTGCAAGTGAAACTGAAGGGAAACTTTTGGTTTTTGACTGAATGCTTGTATAAATTTAAATTACATTGTAGAAAATCACATCATATCATAAACAAAGAATACCAACATGTCTTAGTAATTAGTTGAAGACTTAAGAATTTATCCAAGGACATACATGGATATCATCTAAAGACATTTTCTATATTGATTAAACCAGTTTTTCCTTCCATCTCATGCCTTCAATATGAATAGACTTTAAAGATATTCAGTATCATGGTAAAAGTAACTTCTCTGTTTTACTCTGACCAAATACTGATGAAACAAATGGCAATGCTTTTACTTATATGAATGTCAGATATAGCAACATGTTTCGAAAATGCTTGTGGTATACAGCAAACAGAAAAAAAGGTGGATGATTTTTATTAAATTTCCAGAAATGCTTGAAGAAAAATTAGAAGGTATTGAAAAGAAAAAACATTGCGTAAACGTTACTACTTTTATTTTATTTAATTTTTTTAAATCTTAGACTACATGATTCTTGCGATTTTAAAAATAAAATTATGGATTAAAATATGAATAATATTTTCAGAAACTGAATGTAGTATGATAAAATTGTGCAAAGCAATAACGCAATGATAAAGCTAGGTAAAGCAATGTATGCAACTCATGCTTGGCCTATAGAAAGACATATTAACTGCACATAATTGTATTTTCTTTTGCAATAGTTGCAGTTTTCAAATACACTGTAGTCTGGATCACAAAGTACTCTTTCGAAAAAACACAACTGAGATAAATAAAATCACTCTTTTCAAAATTTATATTAATCCTCTGAGCAGTATGATCAGCTTTATTCGGTCATGAGAATTTTACAGTTGGTATACATTAGCTTATAATTTTTTAAGATATTTTGCTCTTTTACTTTCTTTAATAATGTAAATGTCATCTTAATGAATGTAAGTTTATAAAATAGAGAGACTAAAATAATATACAAATTTAGCTAACAAATGCTGTTCCAGTATAGGTCTTCAGGACAGATCCAAAAGCCCGCACAACTCAGAAGGTTAATAAATATACTTAAAATACACAATTTGAATGATAAGAAATTTTTAAATAATTATTTGAAAAAATATAATTTCACCATGCCACTCAAATGATTAAAACGAAATTCGAAAAAGAAAAAAAATATCTAAAAATAACAAATATGATAAAAAATATAATACAAAAATATATATATATATATAATTGGAAGATGAAACAATGCATCTTTCTTTCCGTTCGAGCACAATGAAAGGGAAAGTGAAATAGGTTACCATAAATTAAGAATTTCACAAAGTGAATTATTCTTGGCACAAACTGTGAAAAGGGAACGAGATAAATTTGTGAATTTTTCAGCAAATTTTACACAATTTGGTATTTAAGCACAATTTACATCAGAATAAAAATATGGAAAAAAACTGTAATGTCATTTCAGGAAAAATCCAGTTTTGTGTCAAAATACATACGTTCGAACAATGCTATATGAAAATCTAATATAGTATATCCTAAGTCATGCTTTTAAGACAAGAAAAAACATACACTGCATTTCATCAGTCAACCTAGTAATAGAACTGTCCTTTTTTTTTTTTTTTTTCAGTGGGTGCATATTTTATCTGTTACTAATGACATGAATAAAAACTCATGAAGGATTACCAGTAAGGCTTTTCTGTAATCTTCTTTACCAACACTAGTATTGCGATGCCAACAAACATGCACAGTGGTATTTGACCGATGTTGATAAGGCTTTGCTGATCCACTACCAGCTGTGACTATGTCAGAGCTCCGAAGGCTATCAGCCTGCTCCAGCAGTTCATCAGATGAACCTACAAATATTTAAGAAAAAGAAATTTTCAGCTACTAGCAGGTAATTAACGAAGTAACACAGACAAACAGGGAAAAAAATCATATAATCTAAAATTATTATAGTTTTAAAAATTAACAGAGTGACAAATATTATATGAAAATTAATGAATAATGCCTAAGTATAAACATCAGAAAGTGCTAGTTTGTCATTTAAAAACTATTTTTTACAAAACGGGAATATGGAATCTAAATGGCAGAAAGTTTTGCATGTCATATTTATGACAGTTAAATGCACAGGAGCAGATTATTTGATTTTAAATGGCTGACATACTAGGATTGCAGCTATTAACCCTGCGCAACTTCTTCCTTTTGAGATATGGGAAAAATTAGATGTATGTTCCAAGAAAGTTCACAAGCCTAAAGAACTTTAAAAACAAATTTCTGCTGTTTCAAAATCAACTACCAGTGCCACACTGGAACACATTATGTAGTTGTTTTCATAACAGATATATATAAATAAATCTATACACAGGGTGTTCCATAAGTCTGTAAATATTTTAAAAATTCATAAAAATTGAAGGAATTTGTAGAATTTGTTTTTGAAAAAAAGAGAAGCTACTTAGCAGATATATTTAGCCACCTAGAGACATTAAGTACATCAATACAAAGATTCAGTAAGCATATAATAGCAGTTCAGGAAAAATTATCTGTACTTATTGAAAACGAAAAATTTGGAGACATTAGATAGAAACAGGAATCTTGCAAACTTTCTTTTTATTGATACAATCATTTTGGAAAACAAAATAATAATTACATCTGAAATCGAAATACACTCCCAACAACTGAGTTAATCATATCACCATATCACTTTACCATAGGAAATACAAGCAAAATTCAGAAATGGCTACTGGATCCATTTCGAATAGACTCAAATTGAATGGATGACAACACTTTAAAGATGATCTTATTGAAGGATGAGCCAATAAACATATTCAAATGGAATTGGCAAAACTTGACAAAGAAAACCTTATCCACTCACAAAAGTAGCATTGCAGACACTTTTAACAGTTACCATCACCTAACTATACGAAATTAAACTTCCATCACTTTTGTACATGCAAACAACAGTCATAAATCTCTTAAATGCAAATGTTGACTTTAACATGGTTCCTTCAAAATAAGCAGCTTTGCTTCAAAAGGATTAATATGAAAACTCAATAACTACTTTGCAATTAAAAATTTATATATTATTTTGAATGTATAGGTAAATTAATTTTTAATAAATAAATTTGTAATAAATGTACTCCTAAATAAGGAAAATAAAAACACATTTTTCAAAAGGGGTGCAAGAGCTTATTTTCAGATTCAAGCATGTGCCAATCATTAAAAACCTAAAAAATTCATCTAAGCAGAGTTATGTTAAAAGTAATACATTAAAAGTCAAAACATGTGAATATGAAACAATGGAGACCCTCATGTGTTTCATGAAAGACTTCTACATTAATTAAAAACTGGTGTCTGTTGTGCTGTGTCACGCCAAAATGTGAGCTCACATTTTTAACAGTGGATGGAACTCTGCATACTGACATCATCCAGCATTATATTGTATTACTTGAAGAGAATTGAAGCTTTTGATGATTTCAGGAGGATTTAGCTGTTAGACTAAACACAGTGTGGATTCTGCCAGATTTTTTACTGATCATCTCATTTCAAAAGGATTTTGGGCTACATGTTCTCCTGACTTTACACCTCTGGATTTCTAATTATGGGATCATCAATGTTTTATGCAAACAAGGTACATTTTATGTACAATGTTTTATGCAAACAAGGTACAAACACTGAAAATGAAAAAAGTGTTCAATGAGAAAGGTGGCCTTCAGTTTGGTATAATATATTTGTGCATGTATTTGACGAGTCAAATTTTGAGCATTACTACAAGATTTAAAGTTTTGCCACTTTTGTTTCTCAGGCTAGTCCTCCTCTCAAATTAGTGCATGATTGTAGTCGTGAAGACAAGCCCTCAGATTTTCATTTCAAATTCCATTTTGACTGTGAAAATGGACATTGGCTAAAAACACTACAAACAGATTGGTTTCTAAGTTTCCTCTCTCTTCCAGTTTAGTAAGACAATTTAAAACTTTGCCTCTGAATAAACCATGTTACTTCAGAATGTAACAAAAGTGTTTCATGTTCCCCGCCCTTCTCTTGGCATAAAATCATAAATATTCTTGAATTTAAAGCTTGGCTTTTAATAAAAATTAACAATTTTCACAGTTTGATATAAAATGATTTTCAGGTTTTCAGAGATTGTTTTGTCTACTAAAGCTTTACAATGAATGCAGCAGTGAGTAAATTAACTTTCAGGTGTGATTTCCTTTATCTGAGAAATAACAATGGAATGTTTTCCTGTTAAAGCCCAAGCTCCATCACTACGTACAGCAATGCACTTAATCCAAAGGAATTTCAATCTCAGACATAAAATTGTCAATTACTTTGAAAATTTCATTTGCAATTGCTCTATCATGATGAGATTCACAAAATAAATACTCTTCAGCAATTCATTTATCTTCTATGAAACATATGTAAACTAATAATTGAACACAGTTCATTATATCAATCAGTACTTTCATCCAACTGCAATGCAAAATACTTATTGTGGTTTACTTTTTGAATAAGTGTTTTTTATGGAATTTGTTATTTCATGAATTCGTCGACATACTATAACGATTTGATAACGGAATATTATTAAGTTCTTTAGCCGCAATGACAAAACGATATCTTTAGCTGCTGCTAAAAGGCTTTCTCCAGTAGCGTCAGCCTGCTCACTCTTGGCAATTCTTAGGCTACTACGTTCCAAAGCTTTTTCACCTGATCCTTACATTACTTGTTTATTATTTTTGAACTCCCGATAATTTTCTCTTAAAATATTCTTCAGATTTATCCTTTGAATTGGTATGCTTAGATTCAAGATGTCTTTTAAGAAATTATTGCTTTATACTTTGACTGAATAATAGTTCACCGCAAGCAATACACTGAGGTTGAGGATTCATTTCATCTTCATTCCAACTAAACCCAAATGATTAATAAATTTCAATATATTTTCTATACACACTTTTTTCTTTTCAATATTCTTGGTTCTAGTAGATTGTTCTGGATTTGTCACCTGTGAATCATCACTTTTCTGCTTAGTCAATCCTTGCCACTTTTCCATTTTGAAAACATAGGTTTGTTTTATTATTTTTTGTCAAATATTTAAATGCACAACATATTAAGAGTTCTTCAAAAACAAATGACGATATTCTCAAATCGCATAGAAAAGTGAGGAATACAAAGCAACAAGAAGACAAAATGCATACTGTTTTAGAGACAGCAAACCGACGTAAAAAATCATTCTCATTGAAAATGGAGCAATATGAGGCAGGAAACAGCAACATATAGAGTGCTGACATGCTAATAAATCGATAAACTCTAAAAGAATTAATCAGATACTATTATTGTTCTTATAGTTAATTATTTTTATCTCCTATTAAATATACAGCATCCATTTCTACCACACCTTTTAAAAACATCACTTATGGTAAATTTTGTTATGTCTACGGCTCGTCTCTTGCTAAAGTCTATAAGCGGTGACTGACCTTGAATAAAGCTCAAATCGCATAAATTTAGGAAGTGTTGGAGAAAAACTTCGTTCAGGATGTCAGGAGCTTAATTTTTGAGATTAATAGTTAAAAACACTTTGCTTCTTTGCGTACCACCGGTTGAGAACTGGTATAGGCAGATAGCCCTGGTGTGCTTTGCAGTAATCAAAATAAATAAAATTAGTAATAATACAGATCAATTCGTCCACGTATTACTAAAATATAAATTCTAAATTCTACTCAGAAGAATGGTATGCAAATATACTCACTAGTGGCGAAAACATCGTGTACAAACATAGCTCAAAAGAAAACATTATACCATCTTAGAGAAAAACATAAAGCATGTTATCGTTAGTACAAGCTGTTTTTGAGCATTTTAATTTATAAATAAAAGATAAAATGCATTTTTTCGACACCCACAGCATTGACCCCTTGTGAAAATTTTTCTCAATTTCAAATATCAATCTAAAATATCATGGCCATGCACATTTCATTTTAAGAATGCAGCAAAACTTTACAGGGATCATTCCATAATTCTTGCCTAGCTCAAACAAGTGTGGCATGGAAAGTGACTATCGCTTTGATAAGTATCGACTTATGGACTGTATACAAATAAAATAACTGACGTAGCAAACTTTTATTTTTTTCCTGTTTGATTATTCATGCGTACGGAGTGTAGCTACTTAAAAGTTAAATTTTGGCTCCATCAAGACAGCCAGACGACTTATATCCCTGTCTAAAATCGTCCATTAAAGCAACGCCAACTCGAAAGAAGCATTCAAGAAATTTCTTTCATAGAATTTCAGCTTAACAGCCTTATGCATCTCATGTAATAATCATTACTTCTTGCGGGATTCAACAGAACACAAAAGTTAAATTAAAATTTAAGTAATTTAAGTATGAAACTCACAAGGCAAAAACCACCTGAACATTTTGGCTCATGTTCTGAACTTACGCGAGCAGATACAGCCAACAAAAGCTAAAGTTTATTCATATAAATCTAGATGTTGAAAACAGTATAGGAGACTACTATAATGGTAACAGAACGGTCAAAGGTTTCTGCTAAAAGCTTTCTTCTATCTTAAGAAATCTGTTCTTATATATCTTACTAATTTATATCCTGGTAGGAGCCGAGAAAAATGGAAGTGATATTACAGGTAAAATAATAATATAATGGTTTAGTAAACATAAAGCTATATATATGAACAGTTTACACTGCAAGAAAACGCAGTCTTCAATAAAAGAAAACTTTCTTTTTGTATTTTTGAAATACAGGTATTTGTTCGCATGGATAGCTGCATTAATTTTGAGACATTTTAGCGCAGAAATATGTTATTTCAGAATAAGTATAAAATAATTTTAATGAAAATAAAGTCATAAAA